GACTTACAGTATTCCTAAGGAAGCCTAAGTGTGAGGATGAGGCAGGAGATTAGAAGTGGGCGACCAGAAAACCAACTGGCCGGAGTGCTCCGGGATCCTAAGACCGTGACTAATTCACCGAAAAGGAGTGACCAATCAGAAAGCGACACTCTCAAATCCTTCATTTCCATATGGGCACAGCCAATCAAAAGGCACTGTTGCCGATTATTTACATAGGGCAGGAGGCCACCGGAGCTTTTGATAGGAAGATTGTCTCAGCGCTGAGCTGCTGCGAGGTGGAGGCTGTTGCAGATGACGACCCCAGGGCCACACGGTCCTTTTCAGGGACTCAGTTTCGCCCTGCAGACTGCACTTCTGTTCTGTCTTCCCGCTGCTTTTTTCCGTGTGTACTGTCCGAAGATAGGAAAGAAGCCTTCTGCGGTGACTGCGCATCTGAAGGGAAGGAGCCTGCTAGCCTCCTTTTATTTTGGGGCGTTTACTCAAACGCAACCAGTGAAGTTTAGCAGCACACAGACTCTAGCTTGTTTGTTAGAGAAATCCAGTTTTCAACAGCAGTGAAGGAAAAAGCTAAATAAATGTATCTGTGTTTTTGTGACCGCAGGGCTCTTAACAAACATATTTTACTGGAGGGCTTAGAACCTGTATCACGTCTCCGTTTTGTAGACCTGAAGACCTTTATAGTGATGAGCTCCAGATAACATAAACACAGCCTGGTGTAGGCAGCCAAGTTAATTTATACCACAGAAGTAATAAAGACGAGGAGCCGGAATACTTATGTTGCCATTTTCCTGGTATGAGTACACCTGTAAACAAGAAGCTGACTCTTTACCCTAGAGGTAGTTGAAAAGTACACTGAAATAACTCGATGGGAATATACTAAGAGGCTGAAGGAAGGGGTAGTGGGACTGGGTTATGATTTCTTGTGGCTGTGGGATAATGCATTGCAAATACAGCTGGAGACAGCCAGTGGGGGCTGCTGCAATGTTTAGAATTCCTTGCAATATCTAGCCTGGCTTTCTATTTAATATCGTTATTACTGTAGTCTTTTTTTCGAGCTGGGCATAATTCCAGCATTTGGGAGGCTGAGGCAGGAGGACTGCTGTGAGTTCTCGAGGCCAGCCTGGGCCTTACTATGGGCTATGGAACTGTTGGATGTTTAAGAGCAAGTTAAAGTAAGATCCATGCCAATCAAAATTTCCACCATTGCTTTGCCGTCTGCCATGTGCCTGTCTGCCTGTCTAGCTGGCTAGGTAGCTCTTCAGGTCTATCTGTCAACTTCTACTAAGGCTCCTCGGGATTGCTTTTGGGGTTCTGTGTGGGGCCCTTAGCTCCTCTACCAGCTATGTCATCTGCCAGCGTGGGTCACAGTGTTGTTTGCCTCATGGATTCCCTTGGAAGCACGAGGGACACTTCTCTTTAGTAACTTTCTTTGTAGCACAGTGCACTCTGGTCAGTTCTTGTCCTCTTGATTGGCCAATGACCTGGACACCATATGACACTAACTCTAAGACATTGTCACTCTCGTCTTACCAACCAACCTGAGACATCTTATTTTATTTTATTTTGGTACCAGGGATCAAACTCATGACCTTTCACTTACCAGGCACTTGAGCTGCTGAGTTAAATCCCCAGCCCCGCCATCTTACTTTAAACCATATGAACAAAGATGAAGGATACAATATACCTGACAACAAACATGCAGAAACACACATTTTAACCTAAGTCACAAAACTTTTATGTTACTGAAATTTAAGATTCTTATTTGCAAGTTTTACATAAGTTTTGAGCCTAGTAGTTTCATCCTCTGTTTTAAGTGTGTTTGGTAATCTTTTAATGTCTGTATAGATATATATTTTTTTAAATGGAAGGGCCTAACAGATCCAGAAGTTTAAAAGGGGGAAGAAAAGAGAAATTGATATGAGCTCAAGAAAAAACAATTTAAATGAAGCAGCTGTAGGTATTTTAACCAATTGTTAAAAGCATACATTTGTTGGCAGATAAAACATGCATGACACAAAACAATTACTGTACATTAAATCAGAGCTCACTTTTATATGTTAAATTAGAATAATCTTTTTTCCTTAGTTGTAGGTTGGGCTGGGGGTTTAGCTCAGTGGCATAAATGCCTATCTGGCAAGTGTGAGGTCGAGAGTTTGACCCCCAGTATCAAAAAAAAAAAAAAAAAAAAAAAAAAAAAAAGTCTACTGTTGTCCTTAGTTTTAGGTTTATAAATACAGATCATCAGAATTTTCCCTAGGAGGTATCATTTAACCCATTTTCCTTATGTAAATTGTAACAGTATTTTTTAATAAACATTCTAAGCTCCTTTGAATACCTTTTGCCTTTTAGTTAACACAATAGACTTACAACTAGTAAGAGCTGTAAGAGGGAAAGAGAATGAGAAAGTAGGATGGGATCTTTGTTCATTTTTTCCTGTATTATAAAATACCTTCGGAGACTGCCAAGCTGCATTTCCCTGAGACATGAAGCCCTTTGCTTCCGTATTTGCCTGGTGTTATGGTCTGTGCCTGGATGCCCCCGCCAAAGCCTCATGCAGTCATGGGGGACTTTCAAAGGTGGCTGAATCCAGAGTTTGTGATTGTCTAGTGCTGAGACTGGTGGTATGAGTGCCACACCTGCCCTGGGGTGGGTAGCTAGCATACAACATCAGGGAGGAAAAGAGGCTTGCTCCTTTTGCCTTGTAGCTCTGGCTGTTTTTGGTGTCTGCGGCAGCCACCATGAACTGTTTTCCCTCAACACACTACCCTGCCTTAGAGCCAGCTGAGTATGGACTGAAATCAGAAAACTGTAAGCTAAATAAACTTTCCCTTCCTTCATTTTGGGTGTCAGGGATTTTCCCGCAGCAATGAAAGAAAAGTAACCAAGACACCTGACCTTTACATGCTGAGATGTGCAGAGGTGGCTAATAGAGAAGCAGATATTCACTTAATTGGCCAAAAGAAGTGACTCAGTCTGGCCAAGGTGCCAGTGAATCTCAGCAATAACAAGGCAGCACCATGCAGATGAGAATTCTCCTCCACTCCAAGGGCTGGAATGGTGATTCCAGCAGAAGCCTGAGAGATTCTAGGCCTAAGACATGATATAGTATCTCAGCTGAGGATGAAGAATTATACCTTCCTGGCGGTAAAGGCACCAGTCTTGCATCCATCCCTGTATTGCCAATTGGAGACAAAATTGCTGTTTTTCATTACAGTCAGTGCTTGTAAAGTTACTTTTCCCTAGTACTCTGCTGTGACCTACACCCATGTCCCTGATTGATATAAATAAAAACTGTGAGCTTTTGGGCTTGTGGCCCTTTGTTCCATATAGAACACTGTGTCATCCCAGAGCTCCTCAACTGCAGAGCTTTCTGTCTTTGTCTTTATTTTGTATCTGTGTTGTCATATTGACACGTAGGTTACATTGACATGCTCCTCAGGGGTTTTGGTAAAATACATTGTGTCTGGCCTCTAGATTCTCCCACTGGTGGCATGCAAATATGTCCCTCCAAAGTTCTCTATCTTATTCTCCCAGAAACCAGCCCCAGCACAGGCTGCCCCAACCAGCAGAGCACTGTCTACTTTTTCCTGCTGCGGCATAGAAATGGGAGAAAGAAGAACTCCGCAGGCCAGCATGGTGCGGTAGAAGGAGAGCTGGGCTGTGTATCAGGAGGCTGGGAATCAGCTTCATATGCACAGACTGTGAGTGTGTTTCCAAGAGGCTCCCTTGGAGTCTCAGTTTCTTCATCTGTGAAATGGGCTGAGGATATCTATCTCCATATGGCAGTTAAACTCCACTATGTCACCTTGATCATTGGGATTCACCCAGAAGATTGGTGGAGCACACATCTGGGTGTGTCAAGGTGGGTCACGGAAGTGTAGCCTTGGATAAATGGTATGTTTGATCCCTGCTCCCTTCTTCTCTGGTGCCACTCTTCTGCTCAAATCACCCTTCCCTTTCCATGATGTTTTTGCCTTGGAGCAAGCTGACCTTGGCCTGAACCCTCTGGGACCTTGAGCCAAATTCAACCTCTCCTCCTTTAAGTGTTGGATGTTGGCTACTGTGCACCAGAGGTAGGCAGGATGATTAGTATGCTGTGTGGTTGGGGATCAGTACCCATACCTAGCGGAGTACAGGTGCCAGGCAAACATTAGCTGCCCTAACTCTCAACCTCAGGCTCCTCGATTATGATGGCCATGGGAGCCTATTCTAAGGTGTGTAGGTGGTCATGGGCCCTCTGATTGGTGGTACCAGTGTATCACCGGAGGTCATGACTGTGGGGAGCTTCAGGTCCGTGAGTGTGGCTTCAGGGGCCCTTCCTACCCTTCCCTCGAAGTGTAGTAGTAGCTTTCCTCACCGAGGTCAAGTGAGAGGTTTGAGCACAGCTCCTTCCTGAAGTGAGGAAAAGGCAGTGGGCACATTCACAAAAGGAAGGTTCCCTGGCCGCCTGTAGATGCCTTAGTTGGGAATGACCTTGTCCGTAGCCACTGCTGCCATCTTGAGTCACCAGGGATCATGTCCACCACCCTGACTATGTGACCTGCTTCAGGGTGCCTTCTGGAAGAGGACAGATGGGAGTGAGAAGGGGTTGGAAGAGCAGGTAAGGGCACTGTTGGTCTACAGGGCAGCTGGGGAGAAGAGCCCTGTGGTGGGTGACAGGGTGGTTCTGAGTTGTGCATCTGTGGGTGTCCAGCCAAAGCAGTTCCTCCTCTGGAGCAGGGCAGGCTGTGGCACCCTCAGCTGCAGTGATCACTGCTGCCCACTGACTGCAGTGGCCTCTGTTGCACGCAAGCTCGCCGGCAGGAGAGACCTGAAACACCGTGCTCCTTGTGAATGGAGACGCCTGGCCCAGCACCCCTGGGTGTTGCTGTTGCTACTTAAGCGCTAGGACATTGTACTCATCCAACAGTGTTCAGGCAAATGTCCAACAGCTGCCTGTGTAGGCTCAGTGCAGCCTCAGGCACCTCCAGTTCAGATAATAAAAAATTACCACAGGCCAGTGCCCAGAGTCCTTACTTTATTGAGAACCACAATGCACAGAATTTTGGTGTAAGTTTCTTTATAGTACTTGCTGTATGGAATCTGAAACTCTTAACAAATTAAAGAAGTTATTAGTGCATATTAATGATCCAGAATAATGGGTCTGTGTCAGTTTCCAGGCTTTGTAACATGCTTTATTTTCCCTCCACCCTCCCCTTCCCCTTAACTGCCACCCAAGCTTTCATTGTTTTTGTACCATATAAGCCAATGGAAGTGCCATGGCTTTGACCCTCCAAAACTGTGAGCTGCATAAATTGCTCTTTTTGTGCATACAAGCTTGCATCAGGAGTTTTGTAAGAGTGAGGAAAACTGGTGAATATAAGCTCTCGGGAGGCCAGAAGTCCTTGAGATTCAGGATAAAGGTCACATTTACATCTGAACAGATCACATCAATGCTCCCCATGGATTTATGAGATACAGCCTTTGCTAAATGAGCAACTGAGAAGAGATGATCAGCTGCAAGCACTGGGGTCTCCAGGGATCAAGGGCAGGAAAGCACAGGGTGTGGCCTACAGGGCTGAGTTGGGAGCTACAGCCACACAGAAGCATAAGACTGGGGGCGGCGACATGCTGTCATGGGCCCCTCGATTTCTGCCTTCTCTTTAGCAGAGGGCAGCAGGATCTCCCAGCTGAATGGAAGCACGAGGTCTAGGGTACAAGCGTGCGGGAGCCATTTGGGACCTGGACAAGAAGGACTCGACTTGGTCCCAGTGGAAGACACTTGACATGCTGGGGTCAGTTGGCACCTCTCCTGTTGCTCGGTGGTGTCTGAGGTCTCCTACTGTTATTCTGGAAGCCCTGGAAAGCAGCTCAGGTTAAAGAAGGCCAGCGGCTTGGGCAGTGGAGGCCCTGCAGGCTCCTCCTGTGCTGGCCAGGGAGAGAGAGACCCGGCTGGTCTCACCTCACCCTCTGGGGACATCCCTGCCGCCGCCCCCCCCCCCCCCCTGCGCGCTTCCATACTTACAATGCTGCCTGCAGCTCCTGGAGCAGCAGCAGTGCTCCCTCGCCAGATGGTAACCAAGATGAATAATACGCCTCCCACCAGGAATCTGAGAAGATGTCCCACAGGGCTCTAGAGACAGAATGGGGGACAGGACATGTTCTGTGCTCCCAACCCAGATGACCAGGCCTGAATCGGGCTCTGTGTTGGGCCATCTGAGGGACTTTCCCAGGGCCTGGCCTCTTGGCTTCCTGGGGGAGCTGGCTTTGTGTGAGATCAGAGTGGGGGATGAGCTGCTCACACCCCCCACCCCAGGCAAACCCTTGGTAGGTACGTGGGTGCCTGGGGGCTGAGGCTGGGGCATTGCACAGAGAGAGGGGCGACTGCTTAGTGTAGGAAGGTAGGGGCTGGGGTTTGGGGTGCTGTCCAGCCCTAGGGGACAGAGCTCCTTTTTCTCCCCTCTGCAGGCAGCGGGAGGTGGGGACTTTCCCTGATTCCCATGAATGCAGCCCCCAACCCCCCAGGGAACACTACCACAGAGACAGGGAGCTGCGCTTGTACTAGGGTGGGAAGAGCGGGAAGCCCTGCAAAGCCGAGCAAGGGCCGACCCTGAGCCCCTGACCCTGTGCTTGGGCAGGCCTGGAGCCGTCTCCTGCTGTCTGCCCCCCAGGGCCACCGGAGGACAGAGGTTTCAGGAGGGCTCAAGGACAGTGTCCAGGCCTGGAGCTCAGGCCTGGACAGGACAGGATAGGACAGATCAGAGGTGTAGGCAGCTGCTCTCTGCACTCAGGGCCCCGGCCTTGATGCTGCCTCCCAGCCTCCTGTGTGCCCCTCTGCTCCCCGCCCGGCTCCCCACGAGTGCCCTGATGGGCTCCCTGTGGGTTCTCCATGGTGGGAAAGCCTGGGTGTGCTGCAGGAATTCGGGTCAGGGTGAGGGGACACTGCAGAGGTGTGGGGAGCAAGGAGGGGGAAGGGAGGGAGAGAGAGAGGAGACAGAGAGACAGAGAGATAGCAGATAAAGGGGGGAGAGAGAGGGAGGCGAGACAGAGACAGAGAGAGGCAGAGAGAGAGACAGAGACAGAGAATCATTGTTCCACTTAGCAGAGGAGAGGCCTCTGGCTCGGCCCCAGTGGAGTGTGAGAGAGGAGTTCACTGGGGGAGGACACAGGACATTTGGGGTCACTGTCACAGGGAGGGGCTTTCCAGCCTGACCAGGGAGCGATTAGTGAGCCAAGAGACAGGAGAGGAGGATGGGGCCTGCAAGACTGAGGAAGAAGCTCTTGGTAAGCGCTCCTGGTACCAGCTGGCTGGGAGGAGAACCAGAAGCAGCTACCTGTGACCCAGCCAGTTGGGACTTAGGCGGCTGCACAAGAAAGCAATTTGCCTGCCTCTTGGTAAGCGCCCCTGGGGCCAGCTGGGAAGAGAAAGTCAGCTGTTCCTGTGAGCCTTCCAGCGTGTGGGCTGAGAATCAAACATCTCCCCACCCCAGCAACTGGGGACAGAGTTCTGAGCATCTCCTGGGAGGATGACCACATGCAGTATGGCAAATAAGGGGGATTTCCTTCTATGCTCTGTTTAAAGGCAAAGGTTATTTTCACTGTTACGTTTTATAATGATTGTTATGCTCTATTCAATATTCTCCTTCAATTGGTTTTACAATGGTCTGTTATTGGTTTGATTTCGCTATACCTAATTGATTGGACAACTATTGTGAAGATAATGAGATGTATTGTAGTACCTCTTACTACTATCCCGGAATCCTGCTTTGAAGTTCTGTACCAATGTCACTACATTGTCTCAATTGGCTTTGTTTTATCTTGTTCTGTTGTATTTTTACTACATTCTAATGAAATTAAAAAAAAAGACTGAGGATGGAGAGAGGCAAGAGAGAGAGAGGGAGACAGACAGACAGAGACAGAGAGATGGAGACAGAGACAGAAACGGATGGACACACACACACACACACACACACACACACACACACAGAGGCAGACAGCAGGCAGGTCGTGGACTGTGAGGTCTGGGGCAGGAAGTGGTTGGGGCCAGGAGCAGAGTGAGGCTGAGAATGCTGACAGGGTGGCTCCGGAGAGCACACAGAGGGGGCAGCATGATGGGGGCAGGGAGCAGCGTGGGGGGGCAACATGAGGGGGGCAGGGACTGCGTGAGCCGGGGTAGGAGACAGGGGGCAAGGAGAAGGGGCTTCTGGGAGAACCTATGGGACAGAGCGGCTGACCAAGTGAGGCTCTGTGCCTCTGAGCAGGCTTTAAGCAGGCTCCCCTCGAAAGAAGCACCCAGCTGGGGCCATGGGCACCGAGACTTAGGGCAAGGCCATCTCTTTCCTTCCTTCCCTGCCACCCGCCTGCCACTGAGCCCCGTGGATGCAGAAAACGGACCTGTGCTCTGCAAGTGCCCACTGCCTCCTGGGAAAGTGGACGTGGTGTGAAAGGGGAATTTTCCTGGGAGTTTTAATCAAAGCTGGTGCTCGGTCATCCCAGGGTGGCCCAGTACCGCGTCCTGCTGTGCCACGGACCTAGCATGGATTTCTTGTGGGAATCTAGAGGCACTTACTGTTATCATCCTGAAGGCACAGGCACTGCACGCGTCCGCTGATCTGCCTGGCGTTGTATTAGAAAGAGCGGCTTGCAGAAGGAAGGTAGACTTCCTGTGTGTGAAAAGACAATATGTGAGCTGTGGAGAACTAAGCCAGCCGGGGCAGAATGTGCACACGGAGCCTGTCTAAGGTTGGTATTTATGAGGCAAAAGCGAAAGCAAAACAAGGAGCTGTGTGATTTGCTGAACTCAGGAAATTGGAACTTGAAACTCCATTTGCTTTGTGTGTTACTGGGTGCCGATGATTGGCTGAGGCTCAGTTGCATTTTCCTCTAAAGCGAGCCTTTGGAGGAAATGAATGACCATTTGTTTCTCTTATGATTCCAGTTATGGTAAAGTTTAGGACACTTCTTCCTGCAATTGGTTTTGCTTAGAGAAGAATTATTCAGGCTCAGTTTATTTTATTATTTTAAAATTATTATTTATCTTTTTTAAACACAAGTTCTTGCTATGGAGCTCAGGCTGGCCTCAAACTTACAGCAATCTTCTTGCCTCAGCCTCCTGAGTGCTGGAATTATAGACATGTACCACCATGCCCAGCTCAGTTTGTTTTAATTCTGTTCTACTAATGAGATCCCTGTGTTTTCATGTTTAGTTTATTTTTCATTGCTTGAGTCCATTATCCATTAACGGGGCATGGAAAACACACACACACACACACACGCACACACACACACACACACACCCCACACAGTCTGAGGTTGCAATGTGGTATCAGTTGGTCTAACACATGTTAATGGAGCAAGAAGAATAATTTCCACTGAGTACTCAAAATACACTTGGGGTACAGCCAGGTGAGAGTGGGAAGCTGCAGGTGCAGGGACAGGAGTTCTGACCTCAGCCTTCTGCCCCTGGCCAGCAGAGCTCTGCTTCTGGCTGTGCGCCCTGCTGGCTGCTGACCCATGAGACCCTGTCCTCTCCTTCTGTTTCTGTCTGTCCCTGGCAGAGTGACCATGGGGCGCCAGCTCTGCTCAGGTTTCAGTGCCATGGCTGAGGGTGCGTGTGGAGAGATGAGGGCCCTACAGAGACATGGTTCTGGGGATGCTGCAGGGACTCCGCAGGGGCACTGCCCCCAGGGAGCAGTAGGCTGTCCCCCAGGTGCTGAGGGGTCCTTGCTAGGAGAGGCATCTAGAGGCTGGGATCAAGAGGGCAGGCAGAGGGCAGAACATGGGCTCTGTCCACCAGCACCCTGGTGACTGCAGATGGAAGCAGGCAGTGGAGGGCTCCTGCCTTGAGGCTGCAACTGGGTCACAACCTGCTCTCTCTGTGACCCTGAGCACAGGGCACCAGGACAGCAGGACTGAGGGCATCAGGTCAGGGTGAGAGGAAGCAGTGAGAAGGGAGCCAGGCCAGGCTGAGGTTCTTGGGCAGCAAGGGCCAGTGTGTGGGCTGGGAGAGGCAGCCATAGGAGCAGGCTGGGGAGAGTGGGCGGCTGTGACCAGTGTCCCAGGTGTGGCCTGCACTGCTGGCTCCTTCCAGGAACTCTGGTCTGGTGCCCTGGCTCCCAGGAGGTGTCGGGAGATGCCTGTGTAGCATGAGGTGTCCCAGCACTGGACTCCACAGTGCACAGCTGTGTGTGTGTGGCCTTGGGCTTCTCAAGGCCTCTTCAGGTCTAGGAATGAAATCTCCAGGAGGTCCTGCAGCCCAGGTCCTTCCTGACCAGCTGATGGCATGTAAAATGCCCCAGGTCACAGAGGGGCAGGGATGCGAGGTCGGGGTGTGGGACAGCCTGCCATTTGGCTATGTCTTTGGGGAGAATTTAGAGTCTAAAGCTATTGCCCAGGGGAGGAGCACCTTTGGTGTTTTGTAAGCAGAACAAACACAGGCTTTCCTTGCTGGGCACCTGTCCTGGTAAAGGGGATTCTGACGGCCTTGGGCCTCGCCCTGTGGGGCGAGACCACTGGCTTCCAGGCACCACGCAGGGACTGCACCATGCAAATCCTACTGTGGGAGGAAGATGCAGACACCCTGGGCCCCTCTGGAGTCTGATCTGGCCCGCAGATTGGTCCGTAGGCCTCTCCTGGAGAGGGGACGGGGATGGAGGGCTGGGCAAGAAAAAAAGAGAGACGGAGACAGGATGAGATTCCAATCGAGTCTCGTTTATTCAGGAAGTGTACATGGCTTATATAGAGTCAAAGGGGACGTGGCCTTACAGGATGGGCTGGCTTGGATCTCCTCATATGCTGTGGGCCTATCAGACTAGTAGGAAGTCATACTAGGCACATAGGTAAGCGGACGTGATGTCAACAAGAGGGGATTATGGGAGAAGTAGGCTGAAGCGGGAAGGTGCTTACATCATGCGTATTGTAGGCAAGGGGAGGATCATGGGAAATGTAGGCTGACACACAAAATGCCCTCAGGTGGGAGGGGCAGGACAGCGGCACCCATTCTGAGCCGCTCCCTACATCTCCTCCCTTATTATTATATTTTTTAGGAGTATGGCAGGCCCTGCGAGGACAGCACCTGTCTTGGGTCAAGGACTCCTCATATGAACCCATTCGAGCCTTACCGTCGTGGGCCTACAGGACAGCCGTTGGTCCTGGGCCTGTCTTAGGTGGCCGATGGTGTAACATATGTGTCCTAGTTGCCCGTCTCTGACTGCCTGTCCAGTGCCTCAGGGCATTTGGACCACAGTATCATGTGGGCAATAGGTGGGTGTTTTTTCCCGATAAGTTTGTTGTTCTGCCATCTCCAACCGATGGTAATATACCTGAATGGGCTTTGCCATAAATGTATCAATCCTGTTTTTAAGGAGTGTCATGATCCTCTGAAAAATACAAGGTCCTACAGTAAATAGTAACAGCAAGGCAGCTAGGGGCCCCAAGAGGGGGTCAATGTAAAGGAAGAGATCCCCCACATGGAGGAGAAGGTGGTTTTTCCGAGGCGCTTTTTTTCTCTCTCTTCGAGGTGTTCCCTTAGCTTAGCTGTGGACTCTGACAACTCCTGAGTGGTTGGCATAAAAACAACACTCTTCCTTGAGGGCAGCACATAAGCCACCCTCCTTCATAAATAGGAGGTCTAGCCCTCTTCTATTCTGTAGGACTACCTCAGATAGAGACATCAGGGACGCCTGTAGAGCCATCACAGATGTTTCTATTTCTTTTAAATCTTGATCTACTGCTGCCTGTAATTGAGCTAGATGCTGATTTCCCAACACTAGAGCTGTAGTCCCTGTTCCTATTCCTGTTGTGACTCCTAACCCTAGTAATACAGCTAAGGTGAGTGTCGTGGGTTCTCTCTTAGATATATAGCTGATCTGCGATGCCTGGAGGTAGTAGTCTCCTGGGTGGAAGGTTATGCGAGGAAGAACCTATACAAGAACACAAAAATCTGTAGACTTGTTAAAAACAGTGGTTGCTATATAGGGTGAGGGGCCAAAATTGCAGGCCCAAGACGTTCCTGGGGGTGGAATGAGGTAGTTATTTGGCTTGAACTCTGAATGAAGCTGGGCACAGAGTCATGCTGCCAGTGTTGGTGGATGGCTGGAGTCCCCAAGACAAGTCCCTCTACCTGAGACGTCAGGGAGAGTCAGCTTGTGGTGATTGCCACAGTCACAGGCAGATGAGCTAGAAGAACTGTTAAAGGTTAAATTGAGGGCCTTTCCTTCATAATATGGGGGAGGAGCAGCCAAGCATAACCAACAGGAATGGGTGAGATCAGGTTGGGTATGATTTAAAGCCATGTATGCCCCTTTAATCAAACTGAATAGGTTAGAATGTGAATATTGAGGGGCAGGTACATGATCTGCCTGGTGGGGGGGGGCTTGATAAACACTTATGGTTGGGTGACTTACTGTGGTTTTTTGAACAACAGTAACAGGATCTGTATTGGACTGATTGTATTTTGGATTTGGATTATATTTTGGCTTTAGAGAAGGATTTGGGCCTATGGGAGCAGATGAAATCTGTAGGCGAACCTTTTTTATGAGAATAAGATTTCCCCTGTCTTTGCCTGACTCATAGACTCGAAGTCCCCAGGTGCATCCTGTCAGCCAGCCAGGGTCTTCAGGAGTGGTGACAGTGATGTTTAGAACCTGACAGGGTCTTTGATTGGCTGGTAGGTAGTCATCTAGGCTGCACCCCAGCGGCCCCAATGTCAGTTTAAGGTGTTTATCGGGGAAGGCGGGTTGCCATCCTGTTGCAACTGTTTCACAGCCCCAATGAGCACAAAAATATTCTCCCAAGGAATTACAATATGATCTGCCCCCTGTTGCTGCGGGACAAAGGTAGAATTGACTTTGTCTGGGACATTGGAGCCCTGGAAAGAACCAACAGGGTGTGGGCACAAACCATGGACTTCCTGATCCTACCCAAGTCTAAACCGTCTCTTGGTCATTCCAGTGGTTAAGCTCCCATTTCCAGGGTTGATAGGGTGGCATGGAGGAGGAGCATGGCAGCACCATTTTGAGTATCAGGGCAGTGCATGCCATTTTGAGTATCGGGGCAGTGCACACCATTTTGAGTACTGGGGCAGTGCATGCCATTTTGAGTACCCTCGTGGCCTCCAGAAAAAGGAAGTGGCAGCAAGTTGCTATCTTAAAAAAGCTCCGGGATATCAAGAACCACAGAGCTGGGCGGGCTGGGTGTTTTAGATAAGTCCGGTGGTTGTGGAGTACAATTGCGGGAGGCAGATAATGCAGCCTCACCCTGAGCAAGCATCTCTGCAATCTGGGGATCTGTGTGACGTTGTGTCAGTAGCTCAGAGATTAAAGTCCAATCTGAAAAGGTGGTTACCGGGACCTTTTCTGGGCCAAAAACCCCATAATAGTCTTTGAGAGCATCTCCTACTCTTTTCCACCTATTTGAATCGATGGTGCCTTCTAGAGGGAACCATGGACACACTGAATGTATAAACTGAAAGTACTGAAGCAAATCTTTTGTTTTAACCTTAATCCCTCTAATCTTGAGTGCCTCCCTGAGGCCAATCACGAACCATTCATGCTCACTAAGTGCTGGCCCCATGCTAATCCCGTTCACCTACCGTGATTCAGGCGAGACATAAGGTGGCCCTCCGCACAGATCACAGGAACGAAGTCCCGAAACAGTCATGCCGGCCGGCGATTTACTCCCGTGAATGGTCCTGCGTCATTATCCCTCGTGCCAGGTCGAGCCTCCACATTGGGCGCCACTTGATCCGGCCCACGGATCAGTCCGTAGGCCTCGCC